TCCTCACCCTCAGGGGACAGCGGGGCGGGCGAGGGGCTGCGCACAGAGCCTGATGCCTTCCGCAGGGAATTAGGAGGACAGCCTGGTGCCTTCTGCAGGGAGTTAGGAGGACACGTGGTCGTTGACTTGAACCGTTGTCCTTTGCTTTTCAGTCCTCGAGGAGGACGATCTCTGTGTAGTCTCTCCTGCTTTCTCCTCCTCGCATCAAGATGCGTCTGTTAGAGACCTGACTGTAGGACTGAGTTGGCGTGTGCAGTTTGCACGTAATTTGCTCTTTCCCGATGTACAGCCTGAAGCCTTCGCTTACAAAGAAGCGTCCATTCGGACGTTGCCCCACTCTCGGAAGCACGGACTGTGGCTGTGTGTCCGTTTCTGTTCACTCCTTACCCCGTTTCCAGATTCCTGCGTCTCGCTGAGGAGTTTGGCCTGGTGTGGGGATCCCGCATGTCTAGGAGAAGCCGTTCCGTAGTTTCCCAAGAGGCACCGCCCTGACCCCGTGGCCCTGCCCGGTCTGCCCCGTGGAGAAAGGTCCCGGAAGGCCCTTTGGAAACATGGGTGGTGTCAGGCCTGGAGTGTGACCGATGCTCTTAAGGGAAAGTGATCTTGCTGCTGGTCAGCAAGAAACGTCTCGCATCTTGATGTGTTTGTAGATGTCACAGATTTGAATACCAACAGAATATGATGAATTATTGTTGTTGTTTTTTTTAACAGTCCTCGAACTCAGGGGAGGTGTCTAAAAAGTTGTCAGATGGATCTGTGAAAGACTCCAAAGCTGAAACAGAGGTAAACTTTAAAAAGTAATTTCAAGAGACGTAAACGGGTAGCTGTGTTGATGTGGTGACCGCAGCACTGTGGCCTCTTCCAGCCCACGGAGACCCGGGCGTGGGACATGGCCCAGGCTCATGCAGGAGTCCAGATGTCCATGGTGGGCTGTGGGCTTATTCGTTTATTTGACAAGTATGATGTATGGGGTACAAAGGGATGGGGGCGTCATCCGGGAGAGGGTCCAATCTCCAGGCAGACCGGGAAAGCAGGGGCACTGGAGGGACCCCTCCAAGCTGTGCCCAGCCTATGTGGGACCCTGCGGTGCGTATCCTACGGCTGGGGGACAGCTGAGGCTGGGCCATGTCATCTCTGCGCCTCTGGGCCCCAGAGGTTAGACTCATCCCGACTTTCACAGTCCAGTTTGCATTTCAGAAAGTGTATCCAGGCAGCTTCAGGGAAGATGGATGAGGTGTGGAGTGGAGGCTGGGGGCCAGTTAGGAGTCATCCTGGCAGGTGCAGCAAAACCACAGCGGCTGCTTTGTGCTGTCTTTAAACGTGAACGCTCGCACTGTGAATTGTTACGGACTGACGCGTGTGAGTGAATAGCGTATAGCCACCGAGAGTGAGTCCTCGGGAGCACAGCTGCTAAGATAGTGTTTCTCAGTGTGGCTGGTGGACCGCTGGCCTTTTTAGACCTTTGCAGAAGATTGGTTTCTGACTGTAGAGTGAAGGGGCCTCCGTGTGTTCAGTTCAGCCTTGGGTCTGGGGCAGCCCCGTTCCGCTCTCGAGCGTCTGGATGGTGGTGTTCTCTTTGCTCTTTGTTCTTCGTTAAGCAGAGCTTGAGTAGGAAGTCTGCTCAACATATTGCTGTGACATACGCACTAATTCATTCCTTCTCCTTCTCTTTTCTTTAAGACTGAGGTTTCCACTAGAGCGTCTGGGTCCGTGACAGCAAAGATGTCAAAACGGCGATCCAAAAATTCAATGGAAGGTACTGCAAATTTATCATTATAAGTAACTGAAAATATGGAAATCGGTCACCGTATCTGGTAGAAAAAAGTCCTGTGGCTAGAAGGCAGATGTACCATTGGGGGAATGAACAAAGGCTATGTGAAAGGGGTGAAGATATGTCTGTCTGTCTGTCTCTTTCTCCCTCTCTCCCTCTCTCCCTTCCTCTTTCCCTTCCTCTCCCCCTTCCTCTCCCCTTTCCTCTCCCTCTGTCTCCCGTGCATGTTTGTGTGTGAGCCCATGACACCAGGGGCAGGGGAGCGCCTCTTTGCTGGAGATCTGTTGCAATCTGGGAGATGTGCTCAAATTTTAATCTTCCAGAAATGGTTGCCAGTCACCCGTGTTTCCTTGACTCTGGTCGTGTGAATCGGTAGGCTCAATTTAATCCTGATGCAGAGTGGCCGACGAAAGCACCCTGCTCTTAGGTGATATTTACCATTTAAAGATCAGAAATGGTCCCCAGGAATCATGCCAAAAGCTAGGAGCTGGAGCTCAAGTGGGCAGGCCCGGCCGGGGCTTAGCCCATGGGCAGTACCTGGTTCTGACGGACCAGTAGGTGGGAGCGAGGGTCAGGCCGGTGCCGGCGAGCACCCCTGCAGGCTTTCCAGGGAAGTGTCACGTTACTTTGAGCAGCGGTCGTGTCCGAGAAGGCATCCTTTTCCTACATCGTAGAGGTCCAGGTAGCGTGGACCTAGTTGGACGTGAGAAGTGGCACGGAGATGAGGCAGAGTCCTCTCCTCATAATGGTATGCGGTGCCCTTGAGCGTCTCTGTGCCGGCACCTGGCCTCTTGTGGGCGATCTCTGTGGGCGAGGCTCCCGGGAGGGGCCCCTGGTGCCCGGGGCAGGCAGGCTTTCGGGTGTCAGCCAAGGTGCACATCAGTTCCCCGCGCCCAACGCCTTTTCCGGTGTCTTTGAGGCTTGCCGACTTGGGTCCGTGAAAAATGAACGGTGCTGGCTCTTTTTAATTGCTCGTGAAATTGTGCATTTTTAACGTGTGTTAATCATGTGTATTGACCTCTCGGGCCTGTCCTCTCCTTTGTGGGCTCGTCACTGCTGTGATGGAGTTTCCGTGTTGTCCTTAATTTGCACAAGCTCGCTGTCTGTGAAGCATGTCTGCCGATTTTTAGATACGTGTTTGTTCTTTTTTTCCCCCCCCCCAGTTCATCTCTACTCGCTGTGTTTCGTTCCTCACTTGCCTGAGTGCTTGATTTTTCTGCACTGGAAGCAGCCAGTCGTTTTTTTTTTTTTTTTTTTTTTTTTTGTAGTTTGTCTAGAGATTCGAGAGACGAAGATTTGTGCTTTATCCTGCATTTTTATATTTAATCTTTTTAGTGACGCTGTAAGGTGAGGCTCTCAGTTTATTTTTCTGGAACACCAGGTGTTCCAGAATTATTGATATTAAGCCATTTTATGCGCTTATTCTTCCAGGTTATTTTACAACATTGCATCAAAGAGTCTCACGTCCCTCGAACAGAACTAATTAGTTTGTCAGGATTAGGTTGCCTGTGCCCTCACTGCGGAAGACTGGACACCTATGGTCTCGAGTCAGGACGCGTGTCTCCGCCTCCCCCAAGAGGACGCGTGTGCCCGTGCTGGGCGGTGTCGGCGGTCAGGATTGCGCTCGTTTGTGGTCACTTTGTTCAGCGATGGTGTCTTCTCTCCCCCGTGACTAGCGATGAGTGTCAGAACGTGTGCGTGTCGCTGACTGTTGTCACTGCACCCCAAACCTGGCCTGTGTTCATCTCAGCCCATAGTTCTGTTGGTTTCGGGTTGTTTCAAGCTGACGGTTGTTACTGTCTGCTTTTCTAATAGCTCAGGGTGTGTGCGTCTGAGTTGACTGGGGAGCTTGTGCCTTAGGGCTCCTTTCCCGTGGTCTCACTGAGATCCGATCACCAGAGATTCCAGGCTTTGTGATGATGAGCTTTACCGAGGTGTCAGCAAGCTGGTGGGCTCTCCCCTGCCTGCCAGTCAGGCGCGGACCTCAGCGCCCAGCCTCCCCCACCAGAGCTGCCGTGCTCAAATGGGTACGGCACAGGGCACTTGGGCAAATGTCCAGCATCCGCAAGGTGCATGAGGCGCAGGACATCTATGTTCTACTCAAGGAGATGAGCCTACATTTACTGGAGTGTGGGGTCCCAGGTTTGTTAGACACACAGACTCTTAAAGCTCTTCTAGAATCCCCACAGAACCCAAAAAACATTCTTCATAACAACACGATGATTTTTGCCTATGATTAAGTAGTGTCTTATAGCAGAAAAATATACTACGAGTGACTGTACAATGAAGCATTACAAGTTAAGTTTAACACATACTTTCATTGTGCAATTTCACATCAGGAAGAAGGGACTCTAGAACCAGTGAAAATAGTGCCTCCCCTGAAAAACAACATAACCCTTCCTACAGTAAAGCTAAGAAGGAACATACCGTGAAACAGCTCGGTAAGACTAAGCAAGCCCTCGTGGGGGCTGTGAATGTTGGAGAGTGACACCGTTGCTTCTCTTTGACCAGGGGACAGGTGCAGCTCTGGGGGTGGAGCCCTGCTTGAGCCGGGCCGGGGCTGTGGAGGGGTGGTTCTGGCCAGGGTGGTGCAGGCTCGGGGCGTGAAGCCCTGCCCGCCAGAGCTGCCCCAACCGTGAGTGGGTCTCCTACCGTAAGTCAGTGACGGGCTGAAATTGTCCATTTGAGTGTTCTGCAGATATTTCTGGAGTACCTGCCCCCCCCGGGGAGTGTAACGTAGAGGGACAAGGCAGATAATAAAGAGAACGAGGGTGCTGCCTTCACGTTAATGACGAGACTTTTGATGGAAACTGTAGCCGAGAGGGGTGGGTGCGGTAGGGGCGGGGTGCGTAGGCAGAGAGGCTCCGAGGACTGGCCATCTGGACACAGAGTTGACAAGGTGACGGGGGACGTGCGGGCGTCTGGGAACAGGCAGAGGCCCTGGGCGGGGGACAGCCTCGCCTGTGTGAGTGACGGGAGGCCCAGCAGCGAGGCGGACAGGGAGGGGAAGGGGGAAGGGGCCCCTGAGGAGGGAGGCCCAAGGTGTGGGCCACGTTGGTCAAGTGTTTGTAGCGAGTGTGAGCAGAAGCCCTGGGAGGACATGAGGCCGGACTCAGGTTTTAGAAGCATCTCCTTTTGAAACTAGAGAGGCGCAAGTGTGGAGGCCGGACGGCAGGTAGGTGTCCGGGTGAGACTGTGATGGCAGGGACCCGAGCGTCACTGGTGAGAGCAGACTGGTGTAGGACACATTTATAGAAGGATGACAGATATGCGGGGTGACCGCGGGGCACTTGCTGGAAAGGAGAGGGCACGGAGGTAAGGTCAGTGGGGAGGGGGCTGGGCACCTGTGTGGCCCGTTCACTGAAGCGACGGGGCTTTGGGAGGAAACGGTTGGTGGGATGGGCGGCAGCGCGAGGAATTCTGCTTCCCGCGCACGAGGTTCAAGTGCCTGCGAACAGCCCGGTGGTGTGTGGAGACAGCAGTCGGAGGCGTGGGCCCGGGGTTCAGGGAGGGGCAGGAGCCACTGAAGGTGACGTCGAAGGAGGTGGGGGTCTTTTGCACGGTGGTCTTTCCCTGACATGGAAACTCGTGTGAAATTCAAGTAGGGGACCGTGGAGATGAAGAGGGCGGGCTCTGGAGCCCGCCAGGACCTGCAGGGCGGAGGCGGTACTGCTGGGGGTCCCACAGTCCGGAGAGAGGGTGTCCTGAGAGCCGGGGGCCGGAGGGGCGGCGGGAGGAGGGGGGGAGGCGTGTGTCCTGTGACTCTGGAACGACCATGAGCCTCGTGTAAAGCCCTGTCCGTCCCAACGGGAAGACCTGCCCCACACGCAGAGTCTTCTGCAATGTTTTAATCTGTTGTTAACTATTTTGTGTTAGGAAGAAAGGAAGATAGTATCTCAGCTAAAATTTTAGGCTCCATAGTGTCTGGATTAAATAATGAACCAGATCAGGAAACTACGACCTCGGATATAGGTAAGAAAAAGATACTCTTTAGTTTAAATTCTTTACCACTTTGACGTAAAGTATTTATCTCGGTGTAGTTATATTTTTTATTATTCTGATCATGACGTACTGAAGATCAGAAATGATACCAAATATTGATACAATATCAATGACATTGATATTCCGCTTGCTTTAATTTGCTAAGTTATGATAAAGAATATTAACTCAGTTTTAGTTAACTTTTACGTGCCTTTTTACACGTAACTCATTTTCGCATCTAGATCAAGATGCTTTCTTCATCTTGCTGGTGGGATTTAGAAAAACGATGTGGACGGGTGGATAGAGAAATTATTCAGCTTTCCGGTCCTGCTCTGCTGTGTTGTATTAAGGGAATGCCCCCGATAAAATGGTTTTAGGGTGCTTGCTGCGGCACGAGGGGACGTTGTTGCCCGTGGCTTGCGCTCTTAACCTGAGGCGGCAGTGGGACAGGTGCGTCGCGTCCCCGCCCTGCTGCTGTGGAGCCATTAGGTGCATGAATTCGGGGTTTCAGATGGGGTGATCCTTGATGAGTGTCAGTATTTGTGACGTTAAATTCTTCAGAAATATTAAGAAGCTTGAGTGACATTTAAGAGAAAATATAGCGTAAATCTTTTTTTTAATGCTTTTTTAAATTTATTTTTGAGAGAGAGAGAGAGAGAGAGAGAGCGTGAGCACGAGTGGGGGTGGGGCAGAGGGGGTTCTCACCGACGAACTTGACGGCGGAGGGGCGTGCTGCCGTTCGGCCACATCCTCTCAAAGTATACGGATCTCCTTTCTGCGGAGGCTCAGCTGCGGGCAGCTCCGAGGAGGGGAGCCCCGGGCAGCCCCCGTAGCACGGGAGAGGGGTGGGTGGTGCCAGTCGTGTGAGCGGAGACCGCCACCTGGGGCAGCCGGCCGGGCGGTGACCGTCTGCCCGTGTCCCAGACCAGAGGGAAGACCCCATTCCTGCCGTTGCCACCTCTTGCTTCCTGGGTGCGTGGTCCGAGCCGCAGGCCCCTCTGCGCTCAGTGGGTGTAGAAGCACCTGCCTTGAGGCTAAATGAGCTCCGCCCAGAAAGTGGCCAGCTTGTCGCACGTGGGCCACACGGCACCTGCTTTGCAGATGCCCCGTTAGTTACTGTGGGTCTTGTGCTGAGATGGTCTGATGGGATGGAAGTACACCCGAGTGGCTGTTTAGACCTGTGCCCTCACTTGGTGGGTGTTCTCTCCGGAACCCTGTGGCACACAGTTCTCAGTTGAGAGCTTCGCAGAGATTGGAACGGAGCCCGGTGCCCCCTGGCGGCCACGAGTGGAGCCCTGCACCCGGTCCCTGGGCGGTCCCCTCCCTCCGCCCCCTGCCCCTACGTCCCGCCCCTGCAGGTCACCAGCATGCCTGTCACAGGGGTCATCTCGTGCTGTCGGGACTCCGTTTTCTCAGCTGCCTCATCTTGGCTGATTTTCCAGCTGGGCGTGATTTCCAGATCCAGTGCTGGGTCTGCTCACTGAGCCTTTCCTCCCGGGTCCCCTCACCCTGAGCTGGTGCTGCTAAGCCATGCTTGGCTCCTGTTGTGCCTGCTCCCCGGGCCCTGGCCTGACTTCGGCCGCAGCGGCCCGCCCACGGGACCGGGGCGTCACGGGAGCGTTCCTGCGTTTTGCTGTGTCCTCCCTCTTGCTCTCCCACGCGCCCCGAACCACCCCATAGGGAAGCTGTCCGCCTCTTCCCTGCTCCGTATCGGAGCGCCAGCTGCGTGATGGGCCTGTTCTCTCTGCCGCTGTTTGACGGGACATGGGGACATCCTTACAGCTGCGTTGTGCTCGGGTGCTCTCACCCATGTCCTGTTGCTTTGTTGTGTACAACTTTTTATTATAAAAATGCAGAGTTGGGGCGCCTGGGTAGCTCAGGGTCAAGTGTCTGACTTCGGCTCAGGTCACGATCTCACAGTCCGTGGGTTCGGCCCCGCGTCGGGCTCTGTGCTGACGGCTCGGAGCCTGGAGCCTGCTTTGGATTCTGTCTCCTTCTCTCTCTGCTCCTCCCCTGCTTGCACTCTGTCTCTCTTTCTCTGAAAAATAAACATTAAAAAGAAAGAAAGAAAGAATGCCACAAGACCTTGGAAGCGGTGAAATGGTGCCAAGTGTCATTGGTCCCCTTGAGATATAGGCAGAGGGGATGCATTTGGAAATCACTTACCGTGTGGTGGGTTTTGTATAGTGTAGGAAAGTTTTGACACTTTCAAATAAAGTGTAACAACCTATAGTTCTTGTGTTTTCTTTTAAAATTGATAATCTACAGTTGCCAAGCTGATGTTTAAGTTTAGATTTATTTTTGAGGTTAGTATATCATATTCCTTGGTTGTCTTATAGATCATAAATAATTAACTATTGGAATCAGGCTGTTTAAAGCATTTTTATAGATCAAACAAAATTTCCTTAGAAAATTGCGTGTCTTCTATTGTATGTAGTTCTATTACATAAAATCAGGTCTTTGATAGTTAATGATAGTTTGATTCTGATATAAACTGTTTATTTGAATACTTTAAAGAAATTGTAAGGTTGTGTTTCAGGAAAGGGAACAATTTTTCTAATTTTATTTTTGTCTCCTGCTTTCATTTTAGAGAGTGAGGTCCTGTGGTGATGGGTTAGCTTTCTACCCTGGGTCCTGCCACAGTTGAAAGTCTGTTCCTCTAGCACCTCCTGCCCCTTATTTTTAGTATAAAAAATGTTTTATTAGGTGTTTGATATTTTTTCTATTTTCATAGACATTGGCACATTAGTCAGCCATCAGTACACAAGTTATTTGGGAACTTTCAATCGCTAGGACTGTGCACTGTGCTGGAAGGATTTTTCTCTTCGCCCTGCTTTCCTGACATGGCCACCTATTTGCGGCTTCTCAGTTGGGCCTGGCCGCAGTGGGGAGGTGGGTGGAGAAGGTTCTGGAAATGGTGGTGGAGGGGCTAGTTGGCTTCGGCCGTGGGGACTCCACGCCTCCGCCTGGGCTGAGTGGGCCTGGGGTCTGCTCACAGTCCGGGCACCCCTTCCCTCTCCTGATCCCACAGCCACGCTGAGAGGAACGTTCTGGGTGTGAGTTCTCCAAAGCTGCCTTCAGTGGGTGTTCTGGGAGCTTGTGGGGTGGGAGAGCAGGGTAAGTACTGGAGCCGGAGGGGACCCGCCTGTGTGTGCGTCTTCATGACCCATTTTAAACTGTTTTATGTCAGGCACAAAGGAAGCTACTACTAACTCAGCTAACGTTTCAGACGATAACTCAGCTAGTCTGAGGCGTGAGCACGTCGAGCCAGAACCAGCAGTGAAGCAGAAAGGTAAGCGGGACACCGTCTCCTCACTCCTTTCTCGGTGAGGGAGAGGGGTCCCCCCGGATGTAACCCCGGGGGGCTCCTCTCTCCCCAGAGGGCGGCAGCCAGGTCCCCTTGGCTTTCTGACCCACACGGAGTCTAGTCCCCGGTTCTTCATTGGGACTGGATGTGGTGGGTGGCCCACTGTCGCCTTTTCACATCAGCTGGGCTAGGGCAGGCTGGTCACTGCGTGGTGACCCCAGTGTCCTTTCTGGGGTGGCGGGCGGAGCCCAGGCGGAGTCGGGAACGACCCGAACCGAGCTTCAGAGTCACTGCTGGAGTCCCGTCGGCCCAGCCGCACACCTCCCACGTTTCGTGTTCAGAGAGGACTCTTAAACAGCTCGGGACACTGCCCTGACCCGACGTTTCTGTCATGTCCTCGGGGTGTCCTAAGTCGCACCTTGGTGAGATTCTGCTCTGGGCCTGGTTTTTCTCTGCATCGAGAAAACATTGTGGTGAAAGATGCGTCCGGCGTTTGTCGGGCACGTGTCGGGCTCGGAGGGGACGTCCCGCAGCCAGCGTCCGCGGGCCGGGTGACACTCGTCGGCTCGTGCACGCCGCAGGCCGGGTGCGTGGCAGGCCCGAGGCGGTGGGCACGGGGACCCGGCCTGGGGGGCGCCGTGTGGTGAGGGGTGCTGGCCGGGAGCGTGGGGGCCACGGGGCCGCATGGGGCTGGGTGCGTGCTGGCTGAGCGGCTGAATCGCACGTGGGTCGCGTCAGTTTGGTCCAGGCGGGGGTGGCCTGGGCCGTGTGGGCGGCGGGGGGACAGGCAGGTTCCGGAGTGCTCCGGGCAGGGTCTGCCCAGGGAGGGGGTGTGCGTGGGCGGGGAAAGAGGCAGAGCTGGTGAAGGGTCCGGACGAGACCTGCGCCCCTGAGGCTGGAGCCCTCGCCAAAGGGCGGGGGACCCCACCTGTGAAGGGGTGAGGCCGCTGTGAGCTCACCATCCGGGTGTCAGCCTTGAGCTCCAGCAGCCGCGGTGTGTCCCCAACCTGGTGGCGTGAGTTTCGACGAGAGCTTAGGAGTCTGGGGTCCAGGGCCAGGCAGCACGGTGTCAAGGAGAGGGTCTGCTGCTACCTGCTTTGGCCCCAGGGCAGGCCCGTCCCGGGGTTGAGCCCAAGCCCCCCGTTGCCATCACCCCGTCCTTCCAGTGGCTCTGTCTGGAAGCGCCATTTCCGGGTGCTTCCTAACCACCAACCCACAGTTGCACTGGGCCTGGCCGCTGCCCTGTCACTCTGTGCAGCGTGACCTCTGGGAGGCTCCTGTGTTCCCTACGTACGGGCCCTGTAGGGCCTGCCGGTTCCCGTCGCCCCGGAGGCGTGGCCTCTCCTGTCCCTAGAGCCACCTTCTTTGGGGCATCATTCACGTGGCTCTATGACCGGTGACCAGAACGTTCTCAAGTGCGCCTCGGCGGGCAGGCTAAGGTGTCCGAGGAGCACTCTTCCCCCTGTGGGTGCGTGTGTGCCCTCGGGGCGACCCCGGGTCCCTGGCGCTGACTCAGACCCGTGCAGCTTCAGTGCTTCTGCAAACGTGGTCGTGTCACACGGAGATTGTCCTCCTGTGACTTGGGGTCCACCCCACCCCTGCCGGGCCTTCACTCGTGTGCTTGTGGCCACGTAGGTCACCTCTGTCCCCCAAAAGCAGCCCTTGAAGAAGGATCCTGGGTGAAAAGAGCAAAGGTAGCCCATAGGGAGCTCGGCCGGGGCAGAGCCCTGCTGGCCAGCTCTGCGGGGAGGGCCCCGTCGCTCTTGTCCAGTCGTCAGAGTGCCCGGAGCCTTCTTTGCCAGGTCACCCCTCTCGTCCCTCGTGTCCCCGTCGGTCTGCTGGCGGCTCCCTGGGCATGTCAGCTGTTGCCTGTATCTTTCGTCTGTGTGTGTGATCCTCTCTCTCCATATCCCTTTCGTCTTTTCATTAATGGCATTTTATGGGTCATAGTTTCCTTTCTTCTTTGTCTTTCCCTCTTTGAAAACAAAGTGATCACAGTGGGACACTGGAAAAGGCTCCGAGGAAAGGGCCGTGTTTTCCCGACAGGCGTTTGTGTTACTTAGTTTGTGTTTTTCCCTAGTCCTGCTCGTTTCATATTCCGAGCTTCACTGAAACAAAAGTCGGTTTTCTGATGTGCCTTTTTTTTTTTTTTTTTTTTTTTTTTTTTTTTTTAGGTGACTCCCCTAGTGATACAGGTAAGGAATGGCCTGCACTAAGTGTGTTTGCTATAAATTGTGTGTGTGTGTGTGTGTGTGTCAATATGAACATAGACTCTCAGATTTGTTAAGGAACCATACGTGTACCACTTTAAGAATTAATCTACACACCTTATGTTCCAGAAGAATGCATCTCAGGACTCTTTCCAGAGTAAAAAGTACGTTTCTAAATTCAAATTTTGATTCATTCTATTCTCTAGAATACAAAGGCTTTTTACTTTAAATAGTGGGATGAATTTAATTGCCTTAATAGAGTTTGTTACTTACTGATTAAGTCCTTTCACCAAAATGAAAAGCTTTATTCAGATTACAGAAACAATTTGGTCCATACCCAAAGTAGAATCTGTTTAAATGCAGAAAAATACGAAGAAGGAGATGAAAAGCACTGTTTCTCATGGAAATGACCGTCCTTCTAGGACCCCTGTCGTGTGTGTGTGTGTGTGTGTGTGTGTGTGTGTGTGGTGATGAGACTCGTTACTGTTACATGTTGGAGTGATGACGTTTTGTGCAGAGGGTCCGGTGTGCGGCTGGAGTTACCCACCGCCCGTCACTAATACATGGTGGCAGGTGACCCTCTTGACACTGCTGATTACACACGTCCATCCTTCTCAGGTTGTAGCTGACCGGATCCACCCACCTTTTCAAAGAAACAGAATCGGTTTGTACTTCCAGGGTTTGAACGCCATCTCCCAGATCTTCCCCACCTCTAGAAACGACTGTTCTGTCTTCATTAAAATGATAGACGAATAAAGCTCGTTTGCATTTGCACTTACCTGATGGCTGTCTTTTCAAGCACTTACCTATTTGTGTTTCTTCCTTTGTGCTGATGCGATTGTCACGCTTCAGAAGAAGTCGGACCTTCTGTCCAGGAGAAATCCGAGCTGCCGAGCGAGCTTCCGGCCAACATCAGGTCTGCGGCCAACGTGCTCTCTCTTTGCACCTTCTGCCGTTTGTCCGGTGCTTGAGCTTAATTATGAGGAAATGCCTGTACAAAGAACGCAAAAACCGTTTGCTTAATTTTCACATGCTGGGTATAAGTAACTACACATAGGGCATTTTAAAGATTTAGGGAAATTCATAATTATGGTAATGTTTTGGTTACTTTTTGGATCTTAAATTTAATGAAAATACAGGATTAAAAGACGAATACTTTCAACTTGTCAGGTTACTGGAATGTTCTTAATGCTCTGCAGACTGCGTCCTGACCAGTTGACGGTGGGAAATTAGCGATGACATTGACCTGGGTTTTCTGTCGTCCCCTTTGAAATGTGCAAGTGTGTCACATTCCCTCTCTGTTTTTCCAATATCTGGGTTTAGAAAACCACCTCGGCCTGGGAGTGCGAGACCAGCGCCTCCCCGGGTGAAGCGTCAAGACGGGGCGGAGGCGCTCACGGCGGACAGGTGAGGCCTCTGCTGCGAGGCGGGGTGAGGGTGGAGAGGGCTTCCTGATGGGGGAGTGTGTGTGGGAGGGGTTCGGGGCACGCCGGGGGCGGTGTGGGGGAGCACGGGGCGAAGCGAGTCTGGGCCCCGCCAGGGGCAGGATGATGCTTTTGAGGGTTGAAGGGCCTGGTGCCGGAGAAACGTGTACCGTTTCAAGAGCTCATGCCCAAGCACAGGTTCCCTCCTCACCTTGTACAAGGTCCCCGAAGCCAGGAAGAGGGTGTGCACGTGTGCATGCGAGCCTGCATGTGTGTGCGTGCACTTGGCTGTGCTGTGATCGTGGGGAGGGAGTTACGGGCACTCGGTGAAGCGTGGTTGTGTTAGGCGGGTCGGGAGGAGGAGAAGGCAGGTGGGAGCCACGGTGCATTTAGTCTGGAGGCTTGTGGTCCAGGCACAGGTGCAGCAGAAGTTAGTGTGCGAGCAGAGGGGAGCTGACAGCGGCCTGCAGTGGGGTGGCAGCGGGCGGGGCAGTTCCTGAGAGTGGCCACGGGAGGCCTGAGAGAGCCCTAGGATGGAAGCGGTCACCTGGGGGGACAGGGCCAGGCCTGCGGGCTGGGCAGCTGGGTGTTAGGCTGACTCAGACCGGTGGTAGGACTCGGGGGAGAGGAGGTGCTGGGCAGGGAGCAGGACCCAGAAAAGTGGGACCGGGGGAGGCTGCTGTGTTCCTGGGAGAGACCCAGAAGCAGGGGTCTGTGGCCACATTGCCACCCCTGCCCTGGTGTTGCAACTTGGAAGGATAGGGCCCTCCAGGTGAGAGGCCGCAGGCGGAGGGCTGGTGTCCAGAGAGTGCGGCCAGGGGAGGGGCAAGGCTCTGGGTGGGGGAGGCTCTGGGGGCCCTTGTGAGATAGGGGCACAGGGAGGGGGCTGGGTGAGGACCAGAGGCCAACATTAGTAGGGGCACAGAGGGCAGGACTCACAGGGACCCAGGCCTACATTGTGTGATGTTCTGGAGGTGGTTGGTGGTTGAACTCCTCCCTCGGAGCCTGGGGTGCATGGGATTGATGCAGACGTGTGGCCAGCACATTCCTGTGTGATGTGATTTCTGGTGCTCCAGGACAGGGAGTGGCAAAGCCGTGGCCAGTGTAATTGTAGACGCACAGAACTCCGACGGTGAGGAAGACGACCAGTTTGTGGTGGAGGCCGCCCCCCAGCTCCCTGAGATGTCCGAACTTGAAGTGGTGAGTTAGCGGGAGCGTGTTTTTGTAGTTGCACTTGGACGACGCTGGAATCCATGCTCCCGCATTCAGGTTCTGGAGACGAACGTTCCTCTAACCTTTCAGTTAGATGTCCTCCTTCTTTAATTCTGTCGTTGCTTTGGGGACATCCGCAGAGGCAGGATTTCGAGAATCAGCTTTTTCCTCCTTCCTTTCCTGCCCAGGTGCCAGCGGTAGACGTGGAGGAAGAGGAGAAACATGGTGAGTGTGGGGTGCGCACAGCTGTGCGCGGGAGGGGTCCCGTGCCCTTGAGCTCTGAGCGCCCCGTGTCGGCCAGGGTTCTGAGGAGCATCATTGAGACACCACAGCACGGATGGGCTCCTCCTCGGTTGGTGGCTCGTAGTCCCAGATTCGAGGGGTGCAGCGCCCCAGGACCCTGGGGCTCGGTCAGTAGCTTCCAGCGTGGCGTGGGGTTAGGGTAGAGGTTCGACCTCTGGGGTTGTTTCCAAATCGACAATATTTGTAATATTTGTTCTCTTCCCAAATGTCTTTGATTTCAAACAGTTGCAAAAGCAGGAAGAGTCTCCTAATGACCCCCCTTGTACCCATCACATGGCTTCAGCCGTGATCGGCTCATCTCGTTTTCTCTAAGTCTCTGCCTGCTGCAGACCCCCATTCCCCCACGCTGTTTTCTTTGTTTTGTTTTTAAGTTTTTATTTATATTCCACTTGGTCAACATATATTGTAATATCAGCATCAGGAGTAGCATTCAGTGGGGCACCTGTGTGGCTCAGTCACTTGAGTGTCCGATTTGGGCTCAGGTCATGATCTCGCAGTTCGTGGGTTCGAGCCCCGCATTGGGCTGTGTGCTGACAGCACAGAGCCTGGAGCCTGCTTCGGATTCTGTGTCTCCCTCTCTCTCTCTCTACCCCTCCCCTGCTCATGCTCTGTCTCTCTCTCTTTCAAAAATAAACACTAAAAAAC